AAGACCTCCAACATGGCCCCTGCTATGACAAGACAGGGCTACAGTAAAGACGAATTTGGGCCCCAGACCCCCCTCCAGGGCCCTAGTCTGAATTTGCCTCTCGTACCCATCTAGGCTGCCTGGGAAGCAAGGAAATCCCACCCTGGCCACCCTGGGACTGGGTCAGTTTTTTTTTCTGGAAAATGTCACACATACGTGAAAGTATAGAGGATATTATAACCAGCCCCAGAGAATAGTATAATAGGCCCATCCTCCAGCTTCAACATTTTCAACTTGAGGCAAAACCTGTTTCCATCCCCTCCACACTCCCACCTCCTCCAAATGATCCTGAAACCTGGCTTGCCCCCGTTCTTTGCTCTGACCAAACCCAGCACCGTGCCCCATGCTCCCTGGCCCCGTGGGAGCTCAGGCAGCACCGCCACCCTCCTACAGACACAGGGCACATCTCCTTGGTGGAAAGGCCTGGCACGCGGCTTCCTGGAGGCCCGATGCCTCACTGGCCCCTGGCGGGCCTTCTGCAGGGCCTGTTACACCATGGGCCCTGGGGCGCCTGGGAATAAACTGAAGAGTTTTGGCTCTGTCAGTTTTGGCTGCAGCCTTTCCTTCCTGGTTCACGCCCCGTTTGCATTTCCCTCCGAAGACACGATCACTTAGAAAGCTATAAATCCCTGGCAGGGCTGCCGGCCCAGGCGAGTATATAAATCAGGACTTGTAAGAGCCTAAGGGTTCCCTCCAGCTGGCGGAGAAGGGAGGGCGCCGAATGTCCTCGGGCCGCTCCCCGGGACCCAAGTCGGCAGGGGCAGGCAGCCCGGCGCTGGTGCCACCGACCGGCTCTGGACTTCCAGCTCTGCCCTCACTCTCTTGGGCTCAGTTCTTCACTCTGCAAAATGGGCTAATGACACTTAACCTCGCGGAATGCCCTAACAACGTCGGTCCCGGCAGAGCCGGAAGGCAGGGGATGCCGTCGGTGTTCCGGTGGGCAGACAGGATGGGCTGGGCAGGGGGCAGGCTGGGGACCGGAGGCCTGGTTTCTCCACTGCTGGCCACTGACCTGCTCCGTAAACTTTGGATGCGTCACACTCTTGGGGCCAGTCTTCTCATTTGGAAAACGAGGGGTTGGATGGGGTGGTGAGCTCACAAATGCATGTTGCGGCCCCAGTCTGCATGAGGTTCTGTGCAGACAGGGCTCGGGTCCCTCGCTCCCGGCTCTCATGCCCCTCGGGTGTATTCAGCAAACAAGTAGTGAGCGCCTGCTGTGTGCTGCAGGGGCCGGGCAGTCAGCCGTGCGGAGGGCAGAGCAGGACTTGCCTCCTGAGCTTCCAGCGGGAGGCTCGCCTGCTCCCTTCACAGCAGTGGGCGGAGGGGCGTCCCGAGAGATAAAGCGAGCATGGCACCCCCGGCTCCCCCCTTGCTCGGTGCTCCATTCGCCATGTGCCCTGGGATCCTCCATCCATGGAGAGGGGGCGGAGCTGGTGGCCTCTGTGGGCCTCTTAGTTCTTTCTGGTGGCCTGGGTCACGGGGGACCCCAAGGGCCAGCGGCAACAGAGACTCTGGAGTCCGAGGGAGTCCAGGCAGATCCAGGGATGGGGAAACCCTGTGCCCAGCATCAAGGGACCCTGGGCCTGGCCATGAAGGGTGGAAGGGGAGGTCCTGATACCCACTCTCCCCAGAGACCCCTGGTAGGTGGCCGAGGAGGGGAGTGAGTGACCGGAGGCCCCTGCCCCAAGGGCCTGTCCCACCAGCACTCTTCTGGGATGGCCTTTTTGGGTCCTCTCCCCCTAGCCACGAGGGCCCTGTGTTGCCTTGGGCCACAGACAGTGAGACGAGAGTCACTGAGGAGGGGGCAAGGCGGGGAGAATTAGGCACAGAAGAAAGACCTGCAGTTTAAAGAGGGCAGGGGAAAGACACACAAGGAAAAGAGACCCAGGGAGTGAACTGGGAGGGGCAGAGGAAGGGGGAAGGACAGAAATGGGGGGGACAAAAGGGCTCAGCAGAGATGGGGAGACGGAGGGTGGAGGGGCAGAGAGCTGCTGGGGGACCAGGGCGAGCAGTGACGGACAGCAGAGAGGGTCAGGGAACAATGGGATACAGCGGGGCAGGAAGCGATGGAAGACACGGGCCCCTGATGGAGACAGGGATAAGGCCGGGTGGCGGACGGGTCAGGCCCAGCCTGGACTGGACAAAGGGGAGGGCGGCAGGGGCCCCCTGGAGTGGCTGCGCTGGAAGGGCAGTGCGGTCACCTGGCAGGCCTGGGCACCATGCCTGTACCCGGGGTCCCCCTTTGCGGGGGGCAGACTCTCGGGCAGACTCAGCTCCACTGCCCTATAGACCCCTCGGGGCCCCAAGCGGCGGTCCATCCCCCAGGGCCTCTCCAGGTACGAGATCCTAACCATTTCCACCTGACCCGAGGCCCCTGTGTGAGGGGGGCAGTAAGTACCCCGCCCTGTGATGGCAGCACAGTCCCGGCTGCAGTCCCGGGCAGTCGGTCAGAGCTCAGGAGGGGCCGCGGTTCTCAGCGTTTGCTAGAAAGCATGGCCAGGAAGGGAGCTCGGGTCCAGTCTCTTGGCGGGTCCTGCTGCAGAGGCCCACCCGCTGCTGTGTCCGCTAGACTAGGATGGAGACCTGCGGGCGTCTGGGCGGGAGGCCTCCTGGTGCCAAGAGGAGGAGCGGAGGCTCAGAGGAGACCCCAGCAAGGGACGGGGGCAGTCACATTTACAGCTCAGGGTCAGGATGAAAGCAGCTATGACTGAGTCCCTACTGTGTGCCGGGTCTTGTCTCCAGCTCACTCGTCTGTCTTTTCTCTTTCTCTTTTGTTTCTCTTTGCCTTTGTCCCCCTTTCTCCCTCTCTCTGTCTCTCAGAAACTAAATGGGATCCAACTGCCAGCTCCCTGTGTGTTCTCCTGCTCACGGCTCAGCCCTTTCATTATTAATAGAAATATGTCCTCATTGTACGGCTTAATTCTGCTTATCTGGAGCGGATTAAGTGCTTACAATGACATGCAGTATTGATTCCTGAGCATCTCTTTTAAAGGAATTTTGCCACGACCTAATTAGTTCCATAAAACCAGTGGAGGATGGGACTACGGGACCAGGGGCGCCTGGGAGTCAGGAGCCCTGGGTCCTCATCCAAGCTGCCCACGTGCTGTGTGGCATTCGGTCGGAATCTCCCTGCTGGGGGCCTGGACGGGGCCTGCTCTGGGAGCAGGAGGTGGGAGCCAGGTTGCCCCGAGTCCTTAAGGGCTGGAAGTGCAGTGGGTGAGAGGCACGTGCTCTGGAGCCCCATCCCCAGGTTTGAATCCCTGCTCTACCACCCTCTGGCTGTGCTTTCCCGGTCCCTCAGTCTCTGCATCTGTAAAATGGGGTCACTGTCAGGCTCCGGCAGGAAGCAAATGGGCGTCTGACCGGGGCAGGTGAGGAGAGTTGAAGGCAAGGGTTAGTTATGTACAACAGCATGGACGGGTGGCAGGCAAACGAGGGACAGACTTTCCTGAGTGGGGGCAGTTCCAGCCCCCAGTCCATGCCTGAAGAGGGAGGACAGGGGGCCCTGCCGTGACCGCCACAGTGTGGGGGGGCCCACGTGGCTGGAGCTGGGGTCTTAAGTGAGGGCAGAGCCCGCCCAGGGACCCTTGCTCTCCCCCTCCCTTCCCATGCGGGGCTCCTCACTGGCTGGAGCCAGCCGGGAGCCAGAGGGAAGGGAACCCAGGCACAGTCCCGACAGGTCGGCCCTGGACACAGAGCAGCACGCATGGGCTCCCTAGGTTGTAGGGAGAGACCGGGCACGTACACAGGTGGCAGCCTTAGTTCTGTCACCGCTTGGCTGGGTGGCTTCTCTGAACCCTGAACCTCTCTATAAAGAAGGGATTGGGGGGCACCTGGGTGGTGCAGTTGGTTAAGCGTCCGACTCTTGGTTTTGGCTCAGGTCCTGATCTTGGGGTTGTGGGATCGAGTCCTGCGTCGGGCTCCATGCTTGGTGTGGAGTCTAAGACTCTCTCTGCCCCTCCCCGACCCTGTGCTCTCTAAAATAAATAACCATTAAAAAAAAAAAAAGAAGAAGAAGAAGAAGGAAAAGAAGGGATTTACCAAACTTTTTCATCCTGCCTTGCCTCCCTGCCCCAGCCAATGTGGGACAACGAGGCATTCCTTTGAGCTGGGTTTGAATCCCGACTGCTCTGCCTCACCTAAAGGGGGACCGGAGCCTCCCCCACAGAGCCGCCCGAGGAGAGCCCGGCACACAGTAGGTCTG